ATAAAATTGATTGAACGTGAAGAATATTTAATTTCTCATATCATTAATATTTGCTTCTAAATGTAACAAAACATATAAATGTAACAAAAATATAGATAATAATATCACAAATGATATGTATAACAAAACAACAAATGATGTGTTGATATCAGAATAATTGAATGTGAATAGAACATTTATAACATTATTGGTATAAGCAATACTAAATGTAAATATTTTATTCAAATTTTTAGCACATTTTTTTTTATCTGTAATTTTTTTTATTCTTAATTGCTTATTTCTATGTATTATGATTCTAAAATGAAATCGATTTATCAATGACATTTATTTACTCGGTTATCTTACTTAATTCCACTTTTATCTATATTACTTAATAAATAGACAAAGTATAAATGGCATCAAAAGTGTGAATGTCTGCAATTTATTAATCTGTTCATACTTCCAATTGTCACATTCTTAACCAATCTTCAAATCGAATTGTTAAATCAACTATATTTAATATAGGAGTATAACATAACTAAACATTATGTTATTTTTATTCACAGCATCTATTTCGACACTATGTTTTATCATGAAAAATTATATTTCTGACTCATTAACCTAAAATCTGAATGAGGATACCACATTCGATATATAAACTGTAATTGACTCATGCCTTGACACTTGATTCAAAGCTCATCAGATTTTTCATATTACTTCACATTTTATAAAAATACATATACGTTACCTGTACATTAGTATAACATTTATAGCATAACATAAAATTTGAAAAAAATTGACCTTTATTTAATGAATAGAACTTGAAATGAAAACGGTATACTTTAATTCTATCTCGCCATACAAGTACATACACTTCTATTATGGGAAGACTTTTACGGAAACAAAAGACAAAAGTCTTTTGTAGAGGATATACATACGCAGTAGACTCAAAAATGCAGTTTCTAACACGCATAGTGTGTAATATATATACTCAAAAATATTACTTCTTTTATCTTAATTTTTTTTAAATACTTATATGATTCTTATATAAATATAAATATTTATATGAATACTTATATGATTTTAATTTCTATCTAGTTAAATTTTAATAATTAATTTTTTTTTACTATTTTTTTACTATCGATATCGATATATCCAATTTTGGGATTACACGATAAATAATTTAAGAAATATTTCACGTTTATATTTCATTCCATTCTTTTCTGAGACATAACAGCTTCAAAAAAACTATCATGATATCAAGGATTACAATAACATCATGACATTTTGTTATTCAATGTTTCAATTATTTATAATAACTATTTTAATTAATTTTTAAATATATTTTTTAAAAAACAATTTCAGTTATTCTAATTTAATTATAATTTTTTGGCTACAATTTTGGTAACCAATACTATACACCAAAAATATTCTTGAGAAATTTTGTTTTATTTTATGTAGTATTTAAAAGATAAAAATTCAAATATAAAAAATGCTTCTATGTGTTAAAAAATCTGTCAAGACAGATCGATAAAATAAGTCTAGTACAAAATATAAATCACTTGCACATTAAATAAAGAAAAATATTTTTTTAAAAGGAATGTTTAGAAATAATAGATCATATAATAGATATAGATATAGATATAGATACACACACACAATAAAATCTACAAAAAGTAGTATCTTGATCCATATACTTATCAGTAAGCTAATATATTATTGATTACATTACAAAATTACATTTACATCTTTAAAAAAAAAACAGAGATGATAACTTTAACATTAAATACCTATTAAACTGCCAATCATACATTTTAAGGTAAGATATCAAATAAGATATCATTAAGTTAAATTTTTCAAATTCTATAATTGTATAATTATTTTTCAAGTTCTAAAAATCAAGGTCAAAAAATCATCAAAAAATCTGAAATTTAGAAAAAGGAACAAGACAAAATTTCTAAAAAACATACGAACTAAAATGTATTCTTATCTATAACAGATAATTCATAATTATTTATAGAAGACAACTAATTATGAAGATAATAAGCAAATATAAAATACAGATAATAATTACAGATAATAAGTAATTTGCAAACAAGGTCATTCAAAGCAAATGACTTATTAAAGAAACTATTTTTGTCAATAACTAAATATCTGAAATTTTTCATTTCAGAATATTACCTTTTACATATATTTCTATTAATTTAATTTGTATTTATTTAAAAAACATTTTGCTTATTAATATTTTTCATTTTTTGATTATCTTCTTTTTAAATTGCTATAATATATGAATTTTCTGTCATTTTTTAAAACGGAAATTTTTCCTTATTTATTTTTTCTTACAAATATTCTCTGTAAAACAAAAAGTAATGAATTTCATATATTAAAATATAAAAATAAAATACATTCAAAAAATTATTAGAATAAATTTAAAAATATACAATTCTTAATAGTAATATAAAGAATAATGCCTTTTTCGAAAAACATTTCACTTATAAGAAAATTAATAAAAATGTAACATATAATTATGATTCTTTCCTTTTTTTTTTTTTAAATTCTACCAATATAATATTTTTCTAAAACAAAAAGAAAGTTTTCTTGTACAAGAAACAAGAAAATTCTTTGATATCAAAAACGAAAGCATTTTTAAAGAAATTAGAAAGAGCATTAAATTGAATAAAAAAAAGATATAATTCAGATATTTAATTTATGTAGGAAATAGTAACAAATATAGTAAATAACTATTACCATTAATACGCTTGAGATATGAAAGGAATAATTTAGTAGAATAATAATACACATGCATGATTATATTTATATATAAGAAGAATTTAAATTACAGTATGAGTACTTTTATAATTGCAGAATATTAATAAATTACTGTACTTTTATAATTGCAGAACATTATAAATAGTATGCAATCTGTAGTGATCATCACTATATATGTAAAAAAACATAGATTATATATATTATCTATGAAATTTACTATTTTAATTTTTTATAATATCATTATTATATTATATTAGATAAAATGTCAGATATATTCATTCTCCATATGCATACACTCTCAAAAAAATAGCACAACTTCTTAATAAGCATTTCCTAAGTAATTGCAACAAATAATATTGTTCAATTACGAACTCAGAATATGCAGATCATTGGAAATAAATCACAAAATCAGGTTTTATCTATAACAAGAAAAAACTATTCTATATCTAATGTAAAATGATAGCACATTTATTATAAATATTTATTTTAGTTAACAATAATATATGCATATCAAATAACTTTCCTTTTCTATTATTTTTAATATTAAATAATATCATCATACTATTAGATTTTTAATTTATAAAGATCTTAGATATTTTTTTGTCTTAAATTCTTCCCATTTTTATAATTGCTTGAACGAGTTGTTTCCAACAATTTTTATTATGTTAATGTTTTAAGAATAGTTCGTAAAATAGACTTTTTTTTTTAATAAAATTAAACCAATTTTAATATATGCAAAGCTATATTATTGTACTGAAAAAAATTAGATTCAGAAATGCATTTTGTATGATTGTTTATTTGTTCCCTTAACAAATTTAAATTTATGTATTCATTTTTCCTACTATTCATTTCTCCTTCACTATTCATTTTTCCATCAATGAATTTGATATCTAATATATTATTAAAGTAATTGGTCGAAATCATTAAATCATTACCGCCGACCATTTGTCGTTAATCTAATTTTTCTAGATCTAATTTTTGTTAATGTTTCGTACAACATAAAAATAATATTGGAAATAGTCTAGATTATTAAAATTGTATTTCTTTTCATCTGAAAATTTGCACTACTTAGCAAGTGTTAAACGTTGTTCTTTGTATTTCGCTATTAATACAGAGAAATTAAATTCATATCAAATATTCAATATAGAAAAATTATAGCATATGTGCTATTTTTAATTGTTCTGTAATACACATAGAATTTTATGTTTTATATTTAATTTTTTAATATTTTTACATGACAATGTCAGCTTTTTGTATAATTTGCCTCATTGTTAATTAAGATTTGGAAGCAATGCGCAAAATAGATTGTTCATCTTGATAAGATAATTTTTAACGTCTTTTAATAAATAATACCTGACTTTATAGCTTTTTTGCATTATTTTCCATATTTTTCATGCTAATAAATGTTGCTTTATTTGAGAATTTGTTTTATTTTGGATTTGTTCAATGCTTTTGCATGTCATCCTTAAAAATCTATATAGCATAATATTTTTAGATGTCCATACATTGATAAATTATAAAATATAAGCATATAAATAAAATGTGTTACCATTTCACTATTGCCAAAAAATAATAAAAATCCAAAGATTTTTCAATGATCCGCATATTCTAACTTTGTAAGCTAGCAATATTACAAACATAAAATTCTACGTGTATTACAGAACAATTAAAAATAGAACCTATGCTATAATTTTTCTATATTGAATATTTGATATGAATTTAATTTTTCTGCATTAATTAACATTAATTAAACATACTAAGTGAATACTTCTTATTTAATTTTACATTTAACATAACAATTTGAGCTAACAAAATTATTATGGATTACTATCTTTTTAAATGAATGAAATTAATAAAACTTGTAATACAAATGAAAATTAATATATATACATGTAGTTTACTATACCTACTTGCAATTAAATTTCCCATAGTTCCAGAGCATACAAATAATGCATCTTCCATTTCAACCATTTTGGCAGCTGTTTCTTGTAATACTAAAAATCAATAGTTTTCTGATAAAATATATATTAACAAGTATATTACAAACATAACAAACATGTATTAACATATAATAACATTATTTTGTTATATTATTTCTTACATTTTGTATTACTATATTAATACTAAATATATTTCAAAACAATCATTTTCATACCTTTTACTGTTGGATCTTCGCAGAAAACATCATCACCAACTTCAGCACTGGATAATGCTTCTCTCATTTTCTGAGGTGGTTTTGTAAAAGTATCACTTCGAAGATCAACAATTATCACCTGAAAAAATTTCTTTATTATATTAGATGATTAAAAGTTTATGTTCAATTTTCACAGATGAAAGAAGCATCATTGCAGTTAATAGATATGTTTGTTTGGTACCATGTTACATAGTATTGAATTAAGTTTACTTGTGCATGAGAATTTTTCAATATAGAAAATAAAAAATTAAATTTTCGATATATTATATTATACGAATTTCGGAAAAGAATGGGTGCTGGAATCGCAATAAAAAACATTCAAACAGTTAAAAAGTGATTTCTTTGGTTTCAAATGATTTTAATTGATTTTACTCTGAACAAATTTTCCGGTATTAGTGACAGACTCTGCGTAATGAAAAATAACACGATATACGATAATTATAATTAATAGAACTCTTTACTTTAAGATATAACGGCTTATATTTTATTTTCAAATCAGGTACGAATTTTGCAATTATTCAATATTTTGTCATATACATAAATCATTAAAATAATTTGATATATTTATTTTTTGTTACCTTTCTTGGATCATAGCTTGTATTTGAAGAACTCTTATCGTAATACATGTTTAATTGACGTATTTATTTAATTTTAGGGAAGTTTTATAGATTAAAAGAAGGAAATTTTATAGATTAAAACAATCTAAACGAACTGCAAATACAAATATAAAAAAAAAATTACACTTATAACAAAAGTATTGTGAGAAAATTATTATATTTAATAATATAACAATTATCGAACAATATATTTAAATTATATGTATATATATGTATGTGTGTATGTGTATATATATATGTGTGCACTGTGTGTATCTAAGCCCCTCATGGATTTCACTACCAAAACTCCACAAAACTATCTTCGAAACGCGCCTACTAAACTAACTACGCAGTAAGATTACGATTCTAATAAACTATCTATTTATCTCTCTCTCTCTCTCTCTCTCT